AATAAACACTATTATATATTGATCACAGAGAAGAAATCAGATTTTGAGGTATTCAAGATCCTAATGGTAGCATTTTTCTGATCTTAAGTGAACCCAGCATTTTAATAGTTACTCTGGGATTCGTTGCTTTTAGTGTTCTCTAAGATACTAGTGATACCATGGTAAAAGCATTTTATAATGATAGTTTAGAGGATATGATTTTTTGTATGAGCCACTTGTTATATTTCCATTCAGCCAACATAGATAATAATAACAACTGTGCAATTTGACTATTGCTCCAGGGAAAATCTCTTAATAATATAGAAATTTTCATTTAGTTCTCTTAGTTTTGATTGACAATTTAGTCTTAATGTTATGAAAAACTATATAAGATACAAAAGAATAGGTCTCTTCTGAACCATAAAATATTCCTTTTGTCACATATTTGTATATGAGGCAGGGCACATAAGATCTTTTAAAACATGTTAAGTCCATCTTTTTAATAATGTTCAGATACATAATCTAAAAATTAAAAATTGCCTCTTCACTCTTGAAAGACAGAGTTAATTCCTGACACAACAATGATACGTCTAAGCACAGTGTGATATTTGTAAAGAATTAAAATAGAATAGCAGCACAAACCCTTCTGATTTACGAGATTTCAAATGTAAAGGTTAAAACTACATTCTGAACCCACACAAATTATCACAGAGCCCCACCACTACCTTGCTCCTGGGGCAAAATAGAAGCAGTTTTCAGTAAGATAAACAGTTGAAAATACAAAGTCATAGTTTGAAAGAGAAAACAGGAGACTTCAGTCTGTTTTTCGAAGTCACAAAAGCGCAGAGTTCCCTAATGCAACATCATAAATGCACAGCTAGGGATTTATGATTAGACTCACCTAAAAATGAGAATGTTTTAAGGTCTGCATCACAAGGATATAGATGGTACTATGGCATCTACTTGCTTACAGGGTATAAAAAAAACTGTATAAAACAGTCAAGTGAGAACTTGATGCACATTTATGTGAGTTGTTTGTGGGTTATCCACTGTAGAGATAAACCAGAGAAAAAGAACTCACAGTTATCCTGAAAAGGTTTGATCTTGATTGATGACATGTGAATGAAAATATATATAAATGCACCTCAGAAAGATCTGGATAGATCTTACTAATTAGGTATGCACACTCACTAGCTAAGGGCTACTGAAGCTAATGACATGCAGAACTATAAAACTCATAGAAGAAATATCTTTGGAGTAGGGGCTTGCCAAAAGCATCATCCACAAAAGAAAACATCTATAATGAACATGCAAATATTAGAAATCTGCTTTGTGAGACCTCTGTTCAGAGGAAGAAAGGACAGAGATGGGTGATGGCTCAGTCGTTAAATTGATTGGCATACAACATGGAAGCATGCCCCTGAAATTCCAGTGCTGGAGAGGTAGAGAAAGGTGTATCCTTGCAGCTTGCTTGCTAGTCAATCTAGACAAATCCATGAGATCCAGTTAAGCAAGAGTCCTCATCTCAAAAGCTGAGGTAGAGAGTGAGTGACAAAGATACTCTGTATTAACCTGTTGCCTGTACACACATGAAAAGATATGCTCTCTCTCTCTCTCTTATTCTCTCTGTCTCTCATACACACACACACACACACACACACACACACACACACACACACACACACACACCAAACAAAATGAGGATGAAAAAACAAATTAAGCTATAGGCTGGAAGAGAATACCTTCAAATCATGCTAGACAATTGGTTTATGTGTAGACATATGGGTAACATCGCTACCCGTAGAGAAATTCAAATTAAGATACTATTGTTCTGTGACTATAAAACTGTCAGAGTAACTAAAGTCAATTAGTAACAACATCAAATGCTAGTAATTATGTTGAAGAAATAGAGCTGTGATGCCTTTAGTGATAGAAGTGTAAAGTGTAGTTAGCTTCAAAAAACAATTATATGTTTACCATACAACAAAGCAACCATCCTCCTGGACATTTAATATGTGTGCATGTGGAGTCCAGAGTTCATTGTTAGGTGTCTTCCATTATTACTATCCACCTTAGGTTTTGAGACACGGTCTGTTACTGAACATGGAGTTTACTGGTTCAGTGAGACCAGCTAGCCAGCAAGTTAGCCAGTTTCTGTTGCTGGGACTGGTTGTTTGGTATTTGGGAACATGTTGATGTATCAGTGTGGTAGCTGAGTGGAGAAAGGATGATGAGGTCACAGAAGTGGTCTCTGCTTAAGAGTTACATTCTTGGACACAGTGGTGTCAAAGACCATTTCAGGGACTGAAAGTCAGAGCAATTTGTCTCTAGTAGATTTGATTTAGATCATCGAATACAACATTGATGGGAGTTTGTTTACAGGAGTATGTCTAGCTTATATTCTATTGATATTTCTACAATTCTGTATCCTACCTTATCTTAGTATAGAGAAGAATTCTAGGATGCTTGTCATGATGACACTGATATGTTAAATTCCATCTACTCCTGCAATAATGTAAGACCTCAAAAAAATAAAGAGGGAATTCTGTAGGAGTAGACAGTGGAATTGGGTCTCTGGACCTAAGGCTCCTCTTTTTTCCTTCCTGTTTTGCCTTCTCATCTTATATTCCTGTCACTATCCAAACATTTGGTGCTTTCCCAGTGAGCTAGAGGACCAGTTCAGGGCAGAAGGATAAGCTGTTTTTTTATATTTTATTTTTAATTCAGTTTCATTTATTATTCTTTTCTTATTTTACATATCAATCCAAGTTCCCTCTCCCTCCCTCCCATGCCCCCCTTCCATCCCATTCCTCCCCTTCCACTCCTCAGGGAGGGTGATGCCTTCTAGAAGGGATCAACAAAACCTGTCAAGTCATTTGGAGTAGGGATTAAGCCCTCCCTCCTGCCTCTAGGTTAGGGGAGTGTCCCTCCATGGGGAATGTGCTCCCAAAGTCCTTTTGTGCACCAGGATACGTTTTATAGCTCCCAAAGCCTTGTGTGGTAAGAACAAAGGTTCAGATCCCATTAATATTCTTCTGGCCTTCTGTCTGACTTTTCTACCTCATACCCTTTGGACAACTCAATGGAAATTCACGTTTTGAATTTTACTGCAATATCTTGTGAACATACCACACAGAGATCATGGAAGAGAAATGAAAGTGATCATAACCACTGTTGAGTCAAGAGAAGATGTGAATGTGTTCCATAGAGCAGAAGATATTTTAGGTATGTCCAAATTTGTTCTATAGGACCTATTCCTATTTTGTAAAACCCTGAAGTTCTGGGCTCTCCCACTTTGTTACTGGGATGACAACACGATGTCACTATCCCACTATGACATGCTGCCCCACCCAGCCAGAGAAAACAGCCCAGTTACATGTGGAGACTCAGTAAGGTAACCCCTTGAGTGACAGTCTTGGCATCTAGCTGGAAAGGAAATCTGTTTGGAACAGAAGAAATCTTTGTTGAAAATAGAAAGTTGCATTTCAAAAGGTATTAGCACAGTTTGGGATTTCTTGTGGGTAAAGAAACTTCTGGAGGAAAAGGAAAATGGAACAGAAATGATTAAAGGAAGGAGGTGGGAGATGAACTTCAAAAGGTATTGAATTGAAGAGCTTTAAAGCAGGATGAGGAATGTGAAAGAGGAATGGCTTTTTGGAATTCTGCCTTCCTGAGACTGAACATGGTTCTGCTGCAATGGTTATTAAATACCAGCCTTTGGGTCTGACTTAAAACTTGATGCTTCTGTATTGTTCCCAGGAATTGTGTTGTATTGTTGAATCTGCTATTTCATGATCAACTCAGCCTTTACTCTCTAGAGATTGTTGAAAAGTTGCAAAGTAATAGGCTAATAGGAATCAGGTGGCCAATTTCTCCATTCTTTTTGTTTTGTTTTGTTTCCTGAGGGCTTGAGTTAGAAATAAATTCTTTTTGTATTTGTCAATAGGCATACATGAGTCTATTACATATTCCTTAAAATTTTGCCCACCAGTGTAAGTGCAAGCAGGAAATGGAAAGGGTCAAAAGAGAAGAAATTTTTAAAGATTTCTACATTCCATGTGATTGGTTTCTAAGTTCCCCAAATCAAGCTATGATCTAGTTTGCTGAAATTTAGTTTGTATAGAAAAAAAGAGAGATACCATAATAGAGGAAGCCATTATAGGTTTGAAGGGAAAACTGACTCTAGAGAAATGTCCAGAGACCTACAAGACTGACTCCAGCTAACAATTTGAGCAACAGTGGAAAGGCTACCATAAATGCCCCTTCATGATAATGAGATTGATGACTAACTTATCCACCATCATAGAGCCCTCATCTAGTAGCTGATGGAAACAGAAGCAAACACCCACAGCTAAACACTGAGCCAAACTGGAATCCAGATGTAGAGAGGGAGGAAAAGACCAGGCTACAGAAACACACAGGGACACCTGACCTGAAGAAGGAGGAGCCAATGGGCCCCCAGACTAATAGCTGGGAAACCAGCATTGGACCCCCTGAACATGGGTCTCAGTTAGAAGGCCTGGGCAGTCTAAGGGATCTCTGACTGTGGAACCAGGATATATCCTTAGTGCACAAAAGGATTCTGGGAGCACATCCCCCATGGAGGGATATTCCCTTAACCTAGAGGAAGGAGGGAGGGTCTAGTCCTTACTCCAAAAGACTTGAGAGATTTTGTTCTCTCCTGGAAGGCATTACCCTACCAGTGGAGTGGGGGGTGATGGGAGGGTGGTCCGGGGGCATGGGAGGGAGGGAGAGAAGGAGAGAGAGAGGGAGGGTAGGAGGGAGAGGGTACTGGGATCGATATGTAAAATAAGAAAAATGAATGATGAATAAATAAATAAATAAATAAAATGTTGAAACTGATTCTGGAAAAGTAAGAGCATACAGAATGTTCAAACTTGATTCTGCCTTGCCCAAAGAGTGTCTGACTTTTGCCAGCTTCTTTTTGGGTAATGACATGCTGGATAGTAGGACCTTCCTTCCTGTGACAGATGTCTGTATTCACATCTAGGAAGCCAACGATGGAAGATGTTGGACAGAACCCATTGGAGGATGGGTAAGTAATACAATAGGGATCTAGAAGGATGACTGCTCTAGAAGTTTTCAGCAATCCAGACCATAGTTGTGAAGGATGCTCTGTCCTTAAACCTGAGAGGGTCTTAGAAGAAATTTCAGTTCCATCTTCCCTTCATCATACTGCTATGGTGGGATTCTGCAAAATCTGTCCAGTCACCCAGCATGTTTGCCTGGGTTAGGGGAAAGATCCATTCCCTTCCCTTTTTCCCTCCCAACCTAGGCTTCTGACAGACTAAACAGAAAATATCCAAGTTTGTGACAAAAGACTTAAGAAAATTTCTTTCATTTTCTATCTTTAAATGCCTTAGAAGTATTGCTTAGATTCCACATTCCCCATGTAAAAATTTTGGAAGTGAGCTAGTTAGGGTACAATAATATACATACATACATACGTATATAGATAGATAGAGATGTTTTTCTTTTGCTCACAAAGGATTTGCACTCTAGTATCACTTATATTTAAATTTAAAATGTGATATGTCATACATTTATTTTATGAGAAACACCAGAAATTGGTTTATCATGGGGAAAAATTCAAACCAATTAGGCACATAAATGATAAGAGACTGGAGAGTGAGATTCAGGGATGTTTTCTTGGGATTCTAATGTTCTGATATGAATTTAGTTATGAAGACATTTCTTCCTGTAGGCATGAGATAACAGAAATATCAAGTTTAGAAGCCATAAAACAAAACCTCAACTACCTGAACGCGGACCTTGAAAAGGAACTACAGAGGCTGGACGAGGCCAATCAGATTCTTTTCAGAAAAATTCAAAAGAAAGAAGAATCTATTCAAAGGTCAGGCTTTGCCTTTGGTGAAGGAGAAGGTCAGGTGGTTTCCATAGATTAGAGGGAAGTGGAGCTTCTCAAGTGATATCTATAGGTTAGAAGGGAGCAGAGAGGGCTTTCACTTCCCTGGTGGATAGCTCAGTGTGTTATTTAAATCCTGAAACATGAGCTGTGATGCTTCAAAAAGCTTCTTTTTTACAAATCTTAGCACCCAATTTCTTCATTTAGTTGACGTTTTCTTGTTACTGAAACTCAAGATGTTGGCAGTGTGGTTTTGGTGGCAGCTTCTTTAGGACTGAGCCACACCTGAGTAACTGTTTTTCAGTCTTGAAAGAGATATTGCCCTGTCCATTGGGAGAGTCCCAGAGAGGGATGACTTCAGTGAGATCATAATACAGAAGGAGAATGCCCTGAAGGACCTGAGGCTGGAGACAGCAAAGCTGGTGAGAGGGGCTTCTAAATGGCCAATGCCTTCCTCGTTGATCATTCTGTTCTTATCTCCAGAGGCTCTGCACAGGCTCCACCTCTGTGGCTACAGAAATCACAGCTGCTTGGGAGAGCGCTGTGGCAATGAAGCACTAGGCATGGGGACAAGACCTTGGTTCTGTCGCAGATCTGCCATGTCAGACCAGGGTGCACTTTTTTTAAACTGATACACTCATCCTTACATATTATTTATATGACCTTTGTAAAGAAAACAATTGAGAGCAGAATCTGTTTGTCTTTTTAAATTCCTTCTTCCTACAGGAGAAAAAGAATAAGGTCCTAAGCAAAAATGTCATAGAACTTCAGAAGAAGGTAAGGAGATACCCCAGGTAGTAAAGCATCCCACTTCCTACAACACTGTCATTACAAAAGAAATACTGGTGGAATGGGCAGGGGACATAAGAGGTAAGTTCTATGCATATATATATATATAATATATATATGCACAGTAATATGTAACCACATAAAATATAGATTTTTTTATATAATACACACAAATGAACACATTTCTCACTCAGAGTTCATCCTTGAAATGTGACTGATTTTTAAAGACTGCTAATAGAGTTGTTGTCTTCCTGGACTCTCTAGTTAGAAGTAACATTTCTGTGCTCCACACCCCAACACCTTCAGAATCTTTAGACAGACATATTTCCATCTGGTGTTCAGTACCCAAATAGTAACCACAATCTTTCCACTGGCTAAGACCCCAGAGTCTAACCTTATCCTACCTCATCCATTTGCCTTGATGAGTTCACAGTTATTGGAATGATATTTCAGATTTCAAGAGGACATAAGAATACTGCCCCTGATCCAGAAACCCTAAAAAATAAAATAGCAGAATTGAAGGTGAGTAGAATAGCAAACTGGGAAATTTTGTTGCACATGTATCGGAGGCCTGGGTTCTGGGAGGCTGTTTTCATAGACTATCCTAAGTGTGACACTAGACACATCCATGTGTGTATCAAAGAAGAGCCAGAGTCCTTTCTTCCCATAGGCAACATAACTCTAGCTTTCACACTAGAAGCAGAGGTGACAAGGGTCATCCTAACACTAGTGTTTACACTAGACAAGGGTCATACTAACACTAGCTTTCACACTAGAAGCAGAAGTGACAAGGGTCATCCTAACACTAGCTCTCACAGTAGAAGCAGAGGTGACATGGGTCATCCTAACATTGGTATTCACACTAGAAACAGAGGTGACATGGGTCATCCTAACACTGGTGTTCACACTAGAAGCAGAGGTGCCTACATTGACTTCAGGAGGAGGGAATGGCTCAAAATCCTCATCAGTTAACGGAACACATTCCAAAACTTTACTAGGGTCTTCCCTGGATATGTTTATATCTAAATGAGGACAACATAAGTACAGACATTCAAGTAGAAAGAAAATGTGAATTCTCAGTTATATAAGGATATATCAATAATGTTATACAGTTCACCAAGCTGTGGTTTATGAAGAAAATTTTCTTTTCAAATTTCAGTTCATATTTCTACTCTACTAGAAAGCAAAGCAGCTGAGATTAGTTTTTTTTCTTATTTAAATCAGAAACAAGCTTGTTTTGCATGTCAATCCCAGTTCTCTCTCCCTCTCCTGTTCCCCTTCCCCACCAACCTCCTATCCCATCCCTTTCTGCTCCCCAGGGAGGGTGAGGCCTTCCATGGGGGATCTTCAAAGTCTGTCATATCGTTTGCAGCAGGGCCTAGGTCCTTCCTGGTGTCTGGGCTGAGAGAGTATCTCTCTATGTGGAATGGACCCCCAAAGTCCATTTGTACACTAGGGATAAATACTGATCCACTACAGAAGTCCACAGACTGCCCTGTTCTCCTAACACCCACACTCAGGGTGTCCTGGGTCTGTCCTATGCTGGTTTCCCAGCTATCAGTCTGTTCAGGTCAGCTGTGGGTTTCCTGAGCCTATTGTTTGCACCCCATTGTCTAGACCATTTTGGCATATAGCAGATGTCCAATAGATATTTGTTAAGTGAACAAAACAAACAGGGGACAAAGCCTATTGAGAAGCTCTTCCCAGTTTTAGGGAGCAAGTGTGCCATTAGGCTGAGCCAACCATCAAGCACCCCACTGTCTGCCTTTCTCTGAAAAGGTGGGATGTCTCCTATGACCCTCATGTGGTTTAGAGAGCATTTGGGCACCATCCTGAATGAGTGGAAGAAAAAGACTGGTCAGGAGGAGGAAGAATGGCCACATTCACTGGAGAGTCTGCCTATTAAGGGTTACATGTCAGCTCTGCCATTCTGAGACTTTGTTGCATATCTAACATATGTGCTTTTGTTTCCTGGTCTGTAAAACACTAAATGGCCATATCCTCTCTTAACTGTTACTTGTCCTCAATACACCACAGCCACTCTGAGATTGCTTTCTGCTAACCTGGGTTGTCCTTGCACAAAGGAATGCTGTTCATTTTCTGCTATTACCATCTTCCTAGGTGAAACTACAAAATTTAACCGAGTCCTGTGTGCAACAAGAGGAGGAAATAGCCAAGGTTGGATTAGACCACTGCCTTTTCCACTAAGTGTCTACCTAGGGCATAAATAGGCTGAAAGCCTGAGGCTCTTCCGAAAGGGTTTCAGGCATGGGAGGGATGGAGCAGCAAAACCTGGCATGTGAATTTCTGATTCACAAGCAGGTGGTGGAAAAAAAGAAACCCAAAACCAAAACAACAAAAAAATCAAAACAAACAAAAACTGTTCATTAAATACTGGCCATTTGTAAAATATTCATCTGCTCCCAAATACCTTGTAGAATACCAAATCTAATAGTCCTATTGCATTCTCTCCTATTTTCCAGAGAGGCACAGGACAATGCTGGTGAAGTTTTGCCCTTTCTCCACTCAAACTTAGGTCCTATGCCTGAATGATGAGGTCACCTTTTGCAAGGTGGTTGTTTTCCCTTTAAGTAAGGAAATGCCATGTAACCAGCCATATGTCCAATGTACAAGGCAGGTTACCAGGGAAGCAGCCAAAACTTGGTACATATTGAACTCATGAGGTTTATTTGCTTTTCTTTTTCTTCTAGATGGAAAGTGACTACCAATCTGTAAATCAGCTCTGTGAAGATCAGGCCCACTACATAAAGGTACAATGTTACTGGGGAAGTCAGAATGGAGGCAGATCTCCCCAACTCAGGAGACAGCCATTTTCTCATTAGGCTACCATATGCAGTGGGGAAATGGCTTTTACTCAACATGATGATCACTGAACATGAGTGTTCTAGACAATGTGTTGAACTCGTCATACAGGGTTCCTCAATGCATTTGCTTAGTGTTTTAATGTTTTTATAAACTCATTTGTCTAGTAAGTCTGAGGAGTTCCACGGAGAACACTAGGGCTTTGGGGAGCTAGGTTACCTGATCTGGGAACTCAGTTTAGGTTAGATCTGAGATTTGAGTATGATCAAGGTCTGGAAGAGGAACTTTTGTTCTTATATGCCCATCCTGTCACTCGTACCTCTACTTTTTTTTTTTCATTAGAACGCCCCCTACTTTGTGCACCCTGTTGTGGTGAAGTGTTTAGAATATTGGGAATTTATTTTAGTGGAATATTCCTATGGGTGACTTTTAAATAAAGACAAAAATTCTTGTTTATGATGTCCCCTCCCACGGGAAGAAATACCAAGAAATTCTGAGGGAGATGGAGAAGAAGCAAGAAGTGATGCTGCTTGAAAAAGAAATGTAAGTTTGGGAAACAACCTCTGCCTGGTGGGCTGCAGGCAGTTCACTGCATGGCAAGGCATTAGAACAGCTGGTGTTACTGAGTAAAGGATCCACAGCTGGTCATTCCTGGAAACCTCTACGCATGCTCCAGACATCAGCACTCAGACTGCTCTCCCACCCAGTAACTGGGACCTGACATGTTTTCATGATGCTCTTTTCATGTATCGTTAGTTGAATGCAGTGTCCCCATCACTACTAAAGCTATGTTCAGAGATGAACAATCATAGCAAAGAGATATTACATGTAAGGTGAAAAAATTACTAGCATCTGTGTGTATCACAACCTTTCTCAGGACATTTGACACAATGGAATGACCAGAGATCTATGGATGTGTTACATAGAACTTGACACACTTTCTGTTTATACTTATTAATTGTATTATATGTGATACAACATGCATAGGCTGCACACAACTTAAATACATAGCTGTTAGCTTTTTCTATATGTATCCACATTAGTATCACTCAGATCTACATGTAGAGTATCATAAGCCCAGAAGTTCCTTGGACCCCCTACCTTGTCAATACCCCTTACAAAGGTAACCACTAGTCTGATTATTTAAAAACTGTATCCTAGATGTTTTCTATAAATTCAATCTGTATTCTCTATGTCTGGCTTTCACTGAGGCTTTTCTCTATCATGTGATTTTCTCCTTATAATATTCCATTGTACGAATATGATATAATTAATCTATTACTGATGAACATTTGACTATTACAATTCCCTATAAAACATCCTTATGTATGCCTTTTGATAAATGTATCCTTCCATTTTTGAGGGGTTATTGGATACACACATCTTTGTTGTACTAGATGAAGCAATGTTTTTAGTGTCCATATCAATATTCTCACCCATGAGAACTGTACAAGAATTCTGAGCTGGAAGATGGCTCAGAGGGTAAAGATGCCATCCCCCCCTTTTTATTATTCTTTCTTATTTTACATATAGATCCCAGTTCTCTCTCCCTCCCATCATCCTATGTCCCCTGATCTCCCCTCCCCTCACATTCCCTACCAACTCCACAGGGAGGGTGAGGCCTTCCAGAAGGAATCATCAAAATTTGTCAAGTCTTGGAGTAGGACCTAGTCCCTCCCTCCTGTCTCTAAGTTAAGGGAGTATCTTTCCATAGGGAATGTGCTTACAAAGTTCTTTTGTGCACAAGAGATATATCCTTGTTCCACTCTCAGAGGTCCCATAGACTACCCAGGACTTCTGAGACCCATGTTTAGGGGGTCTGAACTGGTTTCCCAGCTATCAGTCTGGGGTCCATAAGCTCCATCTTGTTTAGGTCAGATGTCTCTGTGGGGTATTGTAGCCTGGTCTTGCCCCCTTTTCTCATCACTCCTCCCTCTGCAATTGGATTCCAGGAGTTTGTCTCAGTGTTTAGCTGTGGGAGTCTGCTTCTGTTTCCATCAGCTACTAGATAAGTGCTCTAAGATGGCATATAAGTTAGTTATCAATCTCATTATCAGGGAAGGGCATTTAAGGTACCCTCTCCACTATTACTCAGATTATTAGTTGGGATCATCCTTGTAGGTCTCTGGATATTTCTCTAGTGTCAGTTTTCTCTTCAAACCTATAATGGCTCCTGTTATAGCATCTCTTTTCTTGCTCTTCTCTATTTGTCCCCATACTCAATCTTCCTCGTCCCTCATGTTCTCCTCTCTTCTCCCGTTCTCCTTTTCCTAACTCCCTTTCCCCTTCTGTGGGGTACCTTGTATGACTCTTTTAGGGTCCTCCTTGTATCCTAGTTTCTCTGGTGGTGTGAATTGTAGGCTGGTGATCCTTTGCTCTATGTCTAAAATACATATATGAGTGAGTACATACCCTGTTCCTCTTTTTATGACTGGTTAACTCATTCAGGATTGTTTCTTAAAGTTCCATCCATTTTCCTGCGACTTTCAAGATTCCATTGTTTTTCTCTGCTGAGATCCATGTCTATCACCATGCACAAAACTTAAGTCCAAATGGATCAAAGGCCTCAACATAAATCCAGCCACACCAACCCTCTTAGAAGAGAAAGTGGGAGGTATCCTTGAACAAATTGGTACAGGAGACCACTTCCTGAACATAACTCCAGTAGCATAGACACTGAGATCAACAATTAATAAATGGGACCTCCTGAAACTGAGACATTCTGTAAGGAAAAGGACACAGTCAACAAGACAAAACAGCAGCCCACAGAGAGGGAAAAGATTTTCACCAACCCCACATCTGACAGCTGATTTCCAAAATATACAAAGAATTCAAGAAGCTAGTTACCAAAACACCAAATAACTCTATTAAAAAGTGGGATACAGAATTTAATGGAGAATTTTCAATAGAGGAATCAAAAATGATTGAAAGACACTTAAGAAAGTGTACAACATCATTAGTCATCAGGGAAATGCAAATCAAAGCAACTCTGAGATACCATCTTACTCTTGTCAGAATGGCTAAAATCAGAAACACCAATGACAGTTTATGGTGGAAAGGATGTGGAGAGAGGGGAACACTCCTCCACTGCTGGTGGGAGTGCAAACTGGAAATCAGTATGGCAGTTCCTCAGGAAAATGAGAATCAGTCTACCACAGGACCCGGCAATTCCACTCTTAGGCACATACCCAAAAGATCCACATCCATGCAACAAAGACATCTGTTCAATTATGTTCATAGCATTATTTGTAATAGCTAGAACCTGGAAACAACCTAGATGCCCCACAACTAAAGAATGGATAAAGAATATGTGGTACATTTATACATTGGAAAGATGCCATTCCTATTTGCTTATTGTTTTTCTCAGGCCTTGAGTTCAGTTCTCAGGAGAATGACTCTTCTATGATTTCCCCCAGATATTTTATTTATTGTTTATACTTGCCCTCATCTGAAATCTATCCTTCCTGTGTCCAACTAGCCCTGTATATTCTTTAAACTTTTAAGTTTTAAGTACTTAAAAGTTTAAAGAGTTGATTTTATTTCAGTTGGTACCTTCTCATTTTCTAGGTTGGGAGACATTATGTATGTGAGCCTGTTTTTTATGCATTATTCTGTACAATTAATCTCTGTCCTTTTACCTATACTGAACTACTTCACTATAGCTTTATATTTAGTCTTAACATATGGTAGATATAATCTGCAAATTTTTCCACTCTTATTTAAGGTTATTTTGGCTATTTTTGAACCAACAAATTTCAATACAAATATATTTTTTTTTCTTGCACTGCAAGTGGCCACATGTTCCTAAAGGAAAGCCTTGATGGACAATTAACTCCTCTGTGTGCTTCTCTTTACTCAAGACCTTATTTTCCTTTGACTCCTGACTGTCATCTCCATCAGTAGTGCATTTTGCCCAGTTTTATAGTTACTTTTGGAATTGTGATGGCCTAACACAAACTACTCCATCGTGGAAGAGCAAGGAGTTTGTACCAAATTCTCCCTTTACCCCTTTATTGATTACTATAAAAGAAAATACCCGTGAAAATCATGTATAAGCTTACTGGATTAATTCTGTAACAGAAAACAATTCTAAATAAAACAAATAAGCTAGCATTGACCAGAAGACTTTGGAGAGAAGAAAATGAGTCAGATGTTAGAGAAGAGTTGGCACTTGAAGAGGAGAATGGCAGAAGTTATTTCCCCCAAAGTTATACCTTATGGCCTGACATCAAGCCAATACATTGTGAGTATTGTATGTATGGAGCAGTTAAAAATAGAATTTAGGACACTAAAGAGAAAGAAGTAAATATTTGGGGAATTTTTGCCTAAAACATGTAGGCTCCTCAGTTCATTTCTCACCACCACCCCAAAAAAGAGGAATACATGTGACATGGAGGCAGAAGTTAGGAGCTATATGGGGAGAAAGGGAATCAATCAGAAAGTAAGTAAGAGGCACCAAGAAGGCAGTTGTAAAGAGGAATATATTAAAAGGAAATATAGTAAATCATGTGTATATAAAAAGGCCATAATGAAACCCATTATATGCTAAATTTGAAAATTGGAAAAGTAATGGGAGATGTCATTCTGTAAATATGTTTCTCTTATTGGTTAATAAATAAAGCACTGTTGGCCAATAGAAAAAGCAAGATAGGTGAGACTAGGAGGAGAGAGGAAGTAGTAGGGAGGAGAGTCAAGATGGAGGATGGAAAGAGAAGAATGCCAGCCCCTTTCTCTGGTAAGAAAAGACCATGTGGAAGTACTTAGATTAATAGAAATGGGTTAATATTTAAGACAGAGCTAGCTGATAAGAAACTAGTAACTGGCCACCAGCTTTATATCTAATACAGCGTCTTTCTGTGCATCATTTGGGGCTGGCGCGGTGGTGGGTCCAGGCTAGCAGGGAGGAAAACTGCTCATAACAGAAAAGAATCAGTCATCTTTCCCAATGTCTTTGGTTGCTGTTTCAACCATGTCACAGGAGTTTCATGATTTAGGAACGCTCTTGGAGTAGTTCCTTGGGTTGTGTTTTCATGGTAACTGGCTCTGATCTTTTCTGTTGTTTTTAAATCCAGATCCAAAGCCCAGAATGACTCCTCCCAAGTAGTGAAACCTGGGGCAACTCTGGAAGAGACCATTCAAAGTGACATGGTGAGTTGTCTGTCTATGCTTGGGCTTTTCTCTGGTCCTTCTTCTTCCTAGGATGTCTCTCTCACTCTCCTCTTTTTAAAAATCCTGGAGATAGAAAGTGGGGTTCTGTTGCCTAGACTACACCATGGCATCTAGACAAAGGCAGAGCCAGGATACAAAGCTGACTGGCTTAACTGCAAGGACTCTCCTTGGAGCCTCCTACCCCCACGCACTGCACTACTTTTCCTTGAGATTCCAGTCACACATAGTGTTCATGTTCATTACTTTCCACAGGAGAAGATCATCATCAAGAAACAGAAGAGGAAGTTTTTGTTAAGGTGAGTGGCAGAATCATGCCCTGGCCTAGTTGGTTCAGGCCACTCTCACTGTGTAGTAGACTTCATACAGGCCAAAAGAATGAGTATTAACATCAAACAGATAGTCATGCCATCTCAGAGTTCTCTGACCTGAGCTCCTATACATGGACTTAGGACAGCGGACTTACATGGTTCTAAATAGCTAGAAGAATTAGCAAAAATCATGGGATGGAAGCTGTAGGCTACATTTCGTTTCAATTCTTCTATTCCCCAGAATGCTCCCTTTTGGTTTTTCAGGGCCTGGCATCCCAAATCTTTGCTACATTCTTGGAAAGAGAAAACAGGGTGCACTGACTTTCATTGTTGTTTTGCTGTGGACTGAAAAATTATAGGGAGAAAATCTTGAATTCTGTCTTTTCTTTTTCAAATTTTTGAAATAAGGAGACTTACCTGCACTTTTTCTAGACTTGCCGTAGGAGACATGAGAGCATCACTGGCCATGAGATTCACAATGTGACCGACCATCTTAAACATTTGCTGTTAACCTGCAAAAGGCCTGCCCTACGTGTAGTACTAAAAGTTTGTCTGTTCTATTGGAAAACTTACATGTCATGAAGGAAATGCTTAATGCTTGACCACTGATTCACTGGTTTTCTGTGTTCTGTTATCTGCACTCACCATCTCTACTCTCCATGCCCTAAGTACACCTGATAGTTTTGCCAAAAGAAAGCAACTCACCATCCATTTACAAGTTCATTTCCCATTGCTTGATGTTAAGTTGTCCAGTTCTGTTACTCTAACGATGAATTCCTCATTACAGGCACTTCCGGTACCTTTTCTTCATGATCATCATCTTCCTTCGGTTATTGGGCTATATACTTTTCCACCTGCAGTACATAAACCCAGATCTTCTTGTGGACACCCTGCCCATGCTGATGAGCAGAAGCACACTGAAGTGGCTGAGGGACATATTGTTTCCCTTCCTTACTCTAGAGGTAGAAGATGTACTACCACATTAATGTCCGGTGACCTGCCGGGCCTCGCATTGCACCCCCAATGGAGGGGCCATGGCTGTGGCCTTGCAATGGTGATGGGGGCCAGGAAGGAACTAGAAGCCTATGACTCAGAGCCTCTATGTGACAGCTGAGCTGTATACTTAATTCTCTTCTGAAGTGTCTCTCTGTCAAATACAGAATGCATTTGACCAGAGTCCATTGTGTTGTTCTGTGCATTCTGGGCCCTTCCTATGTATGCACAAGTTGCCTGTTCTCTTCAGACAAAACAAAAATAAAAACTCCCTGGGACTTCCATTTTCTCTTTATTTTATTAAGGAAATAGTAAAATCACATGTTCATTTGTTAGATTCCCAGGCATTTAGGGAGGCTCACATGAGAACACTAATGGAACTAGACTTAATATAAGACCAGGAGTCTTATATTAATAACAGTATATAGCTATAGATATAGCTTTTTGTGTTAACAAAAGTAAAATTCATAAAATATCTCTAGATACAACAAAATAAAAATGTGTACTTTTAGATACAGCTAAGCAAATATTTTTGATTATCATCAAGTCCTACACTCTAATTCCTCCTGACTGGAGACAGCCATTCCCACTGTCTACCAAAAGCTCCTAGAACCTTCTTTGGGTTTCCAGTAGTCTCCTGTCTTCAACCTGCTGCTGTCATTCCTAAGTGCTCTGACCTTAATTAGTGTCCTCTTTATTTCTGACCAGTCCCCACCCAGCCCCTTTGTCACAGTGGCATTACAAAACAGACTTAGAAAAATAATGAATGCCGTTTTCCAGTGCATCTAAAAGGTGACAACTAAAACCTGGTAGAGTGCGTACTTTCAGGAGAACGGACAAAGTGCTGACGTTGCAGAAGGAAGGAAGGAAGGAAGGAAGGAAGGAAGGAAGGAAGGAAAGGAGGGACACGGAGAAAGCATGAAGTCACCTGTTTAGTTGGTGGCAGAAGCTACCAAGGCAGAGGATCCCCTTTTTGGTGGTATCTTTCAGCACATTCCACCTGTTCTTGCTTTCTGGAGATTTTTTTTCTTTTAGGGCTCATTCTTGATATAGATTTTAGCAGTTTGGTTGAACAACATTGGAGTAAAGGCAACGCATAGAATGTTTTGGCTGCAGACATGATCCTATCTCAGGTTTCTTTTCTGATGCATAAGAAAGTAGAAGGCATGAATAGTCTCTGAATATTTGACTATGTCACAGACAGAAAACAAAACCAAAAAAAAAAAAAAAAACCAAAAAAAACTGACCAACAGCACCCTCTTGTGGCCAAATGAAATGCAAGCTCCGTGCTCTTCAGCTGGCTTCATTGAACCAGCAAGGTGAAGTAGGGAAGATGTCATTCCTGGATGATGATTCTTTGTTTTCTAATAATTCAAATTATTAAGTACTCATTCATTCAGTCAATAATAACTCAAAAACATTGAACATCACTTGGCTAGCCCATATTCTAGAAATTGGAATTATAGGATTGAAGAAAATAGAGCAAATTCTGCCAGAATCATAGCTGGTAAACAGATAAACAATTGGATATACAAATATCAAATGCTATTATATGATATAACTAAGTTAGGTAGCTGGGAGTGCTGAGGAAGAGTGGTCATTAACAAGGTAGCACTATAAGAAAGAACTGGATGAGGTAGAGGAACTGTCTAGATGCCAAGGGCAGTGGTACCCAGAGGGGTTCAGCAGGCACATAGTTGTAAGGGTCTTCTGAAGATTCCAGACCCATACCTCATTAAGACAAGTCTATTTATGGGAATTCTGAGTTTCTTCTGGTTCCTTTCAGGGAAGGACCCAGGTCTTGGACTTTCTATGCTGAAGCTTCAGCATTTGGGGCTTGTATTGGCTGGTTTTATGCCAGCTTGACACAAGCCAGAGTCATCAGGAAGAGAGGAATTATAACTGAGAAAATATCCCTTAAGATTTGGCTGTAGAAAAGCCTGTATGGCATTTTCTTAATAAGTGATTGGCATGAAAGAGTCATGCCTGGGCTGGTGGTCCTGAGTTCTAGAAGAAAGCAGGTTGAGCAAGCCATGGGAAGCAAGCCAGTAAGCAGCACCCCTCCATGGCCTCTGCATCAGCTTCTGCCCTCGCTGCTTTTGATAAATGGTTACTTGGAAGTGTGAAAAAATAAACCCTTTCCTCCCCATGTTGCTCTTAGTCATGGAGCAATTTGTCTGTCCTGAGAAAGCTCTGAGTATGGGCTTCTCTGTCAACATTTAGTATATGCCTTCCAGCTTTTATTTACATGTTCTTCTGACAATATTTTTCTGAAACTGAAGGCTGCCCACAGCATTAGACTGTAGTCTGCCCCATTCTTTCAGGTCCTCAAATCCCAAGTCTTGGAGACAGATCTTCACAGGTCTTCAAAAAGTCCTTTGTAAGGATGGGTAACATTGAGAAACAATGCTCAGGATAAGTGGGATTCAGATGAAGCCTGGCTCTGCAGATGAGCAAAGATTACCAGGTTATTAGAACATTCATTCCCGGCCTTCTTGGTGGAAAACAGGTATGCACACCCCTTCTGCTGAAGAGGAAAGTCTGTGTGCTTAACATTCCTGGTTTCTCTAATGCTTGTCTGTGAGTGTGGCCCTTTACACTTGTCTCCACCCTGCCCCTTCACACCTGACTCCCAGGGTTCTCTGCAGATTTGGAATTTGCTGGTTCCTTGGTTTGGATAACTCAGACTCTAGAAATCATTGTCTGCTGGTTGTAAGCTAGTAAACATATGGTGTAATAGGCCTTGTCTTTGGGAGCCACCAACCAGATCCCACATCAAGACTCAGAGACTTCTTATTAGTTATGAATGTTTGACTTTATCTTATGCTTGTCCCACTAGCTCTTATGACTTAACCCATTTCTCCTCATCTATGTTTTGCCCCCCAGGCTTTTTACCTTTCTTTCCTTCTTCGAATCCTCCTTTCACTGCTTCTTGGGTATGTCTGGATGGCAGTGGCCTGACTTCTTGTCCAAGGCATGTCTCTGTCTTTCTCTTTCTTTCTTCCTCCTCCTAAAGCCTGGATTTCTCCTCCTACTTATTCTCTCTGGCTTCCAGCCCTGCCTATCCCTTTCTTGGCAAGCTATTGGCCATTCACCTTTTTATTAGACCAATCATGTACTTAGGCAGGCAAGATGAACCAGCAATGCATCCTTTCATAATTAAACAGATACAGCATAAACAAATGTAACACATCTTTATGTCATTAACAAAGGCAGCAGAAACAAATGTAGCACACCTTCACATAGTTAAAGTAACATTCTACAACATAAATGTAAAACATCTTTGTCTAGCTAAAATAATATTCCACAACACTATGGTACTTTGCAACAGCAAGCCATGAGGATTTCAGATCCTTTAAGAATAGCAGTCACTGGTTTGAAATTGCTTTAGAAACCTAAGAGGTACATTGGTGGGTTAATTGGAAGAAACCTGTAGTGCATTTTGTTCCTTGGATTATTGTTGGATGTGATTTTGTACCTCCTGGGTCAGACATTTACATCTAATTATAAGACATGTTTATTCTTTTTTGATATCAAAACATACCTATAGACCCCAATCTGTTGAAAGGATATGATGAATGCTGTCCTCAGTATACCTGAATCTGGACGTGGCCTTCTGCCTTGCTTTCATGCTTCTCCAGACATAATCTATAGTACATGGTGGACAGTTGTGTTTAAACTGGTCTGTCCTGAGAAAGTTCTGGAAAAGAGGTGCTCTGTCAATATTTAGTATGTGCTCACTGCTGTTAGGGGTGTGTGTGTGTGTGTGTGTGTGTGTGTGTGTGTGTGTGTGTGTGTGTGTGATGTTAAAGCAGAGTGATTGAAATGGCTAAGGCAGCTTGTTATCAAGTCTGTCACCATGAGGATAAGTGTTAAGTGCACATGTGGTTGAGGAGGTTAATCTTAAATCATATACCATTTGCCCAAAACTTGAAATTGGGATTGCCTTGATATAGAGAACTAGACTATAAAAATCCCAGGATGATTATGAAATCAAGGGTTTAAACTACATTCTCTCCAAACAGACAGCTTCAAGATCTCTTGTGACCTTCTTTGACATAGAGACACAAAGGTAACCTTAAAATCCAACTTCTAGTTGTTCACTTTGGATTTTTCTCTCCAATCTTGAAAAGATGATGTGGGTCCCATATGATCTGCTCTTGGGCATGTCTCATCCTTACTTTTCTTGCCTTTATTCACTGCCGTCAAAAGCTTCATGAGACTGAGAAGGCATTCCCAACCCAAGAGAAAGAGTTTGGCTGAATTTTCAATGAAGCCATTATTCTCTGTGTGCTCTGATATTAATCTTAATTGAGGGGCTATTTTCTCAGGCTCTCTGGATGAGAACACCAGTGTTTTAGGGTTCTGGAAAATGCTCCTGTAACCCAGTAAAATTATCCCTCCTCCAATAATCATTCCAAATACACATTCAGTGTCTAAGAAGCAGTGTGATCTCTAGTTACTTGGAATCTGGTTGCTATTGTGTGTTTGTTTTCCTTTTTTGCTAAAACTGAAAGAAATTAAAAATATTAAGCTAATCACTAAGCTTACAAAAAAAACAAACAAAAGGTTTGCCAATAGCTTCAAACAAATAAGCCAAACTGTAGCACAAATGCCCTCTTCAACTTTAAAGTTTCATGAGGGCACAAACAACAACACCGTGTGACATTATTCTGAATTAAGCACGTGGCTTCATCTTCAGGATCTTGTTTATAGGGCTAGGGGCAACTGGCTGGGGATTCAGCTGGAAGATTTGTAAAATGGTGAAGCCCACTAGGCCTCTAGATTAAGGCTGCAACCTTCAGGTGTGACTCCCTGCAGAGCTGAAAGACCAGAGAGGATGGATTCATTGTTCCCTATGATGAGGATGAGGGAGACAGAAAGTAAAGTAGTTCAGATAATATCAGTGTAAAAACTTGGTTCTGTGGTAAAACTGCAGTGGTGGGACTTGTTAAAAACCTTTTGCATATGATCTTTTAAAAGCGATTTATGCTTACTTACGTTTTAACATAGCTACTAACTTTGTATCAGTGACATTTGTGTATGTGGGACCTTGAAAATATTAG